TGGCCGGGTGGAATGTGGTAACAAGCAAGTACGGGGGGCGGTTGTGTCATCTGTCTCACTTTTGATTTGCCAGTGATAGACCGCGAGGGTAACTTTAACCGCGCGGAGACGAAGAGGAGGCGAAAATTTGATATCAAGTTCAAAGAGAACGTGCTGATTATGCTGCAGAACACTCTGGGGAGCAGTAGTAGGGGTTGTATGAACTAGTCACTAGTCGACTTCACCTCTCTATAGTGACTTTTTATGCCTGTCATCGACTAGCCGCTGTCACGTGATAATGACCGGCAAGATGCAGACCTCGGAAAAGACAGCAGCCTGTTGTCAGCAGGTGACAAGCTCCTGCGCGTCGGGGGGGGGGGGGGGGGGGAGGGAGGCAACGCGCTGTGCCAGAGCGTCGGTACTGACACCCGCCGTAAAATGGACATTTAACCAAATTGTGATGTTTACCCTCTTGCAATTTAACATTCCCCTCACCCCCATCCCATGTATTTGTTTAGTCATGTGACAGTGATTGTAATCATCTCACAAGCGTAAAAGTGTGTGGTGTGTGTACTTAATAATGTAAATTATTTACCTTCTATACAAAATCTGATGACTTTAGAAGCATTAATGTCAGTATATTGGTATCGGCAAATATTGGTTATCAGCCATTACAGTGATATTTGTATAGAATATCGGCATCAACCCAAAAATTTCATTATCGGTGAATCACTAATCCTAATAGTTACTTTCTTGTTTTTTTTTATTTATTTAAATTAGTCTAGTGGTTCATGACATACTTTACTGAGAAACATACACCCAGGAAACAACATCAACCCTTTCAGCACAGTAGTGTTCAAATAAAGCTTTATCTTTTAGCTTTATTAGCCGCATGGCGGGGGCCATCGGCTTGAACACTGCTGCTAACCATTTAATCATTCTCCCTCTCCTGATAATAACATTTTACTTTCTTTGACGTTGGATGTGCTACTACTAGTTTACCCGTTTAATTATAGATCCACTAGGATAAATACAATCAAGTTTATCTCTCACCAAATAGAATATTTACTAAGAAACCACAATGTAACCATAGAAACACTGTGTGTGTGTGTGTGTGTGTGTGTGTGTGTGTGTGTGTGTGTGTGTGTGTGTGCCTGCTCTGTCTTCTCCATCCCCAGTGAGTCATGGAGGATGGCTGCTTATACTGAGCCAGGATACTCTGGAGGTTTCTTCCTGTTAAAAGGGAGTTTTCCTCTCCACTGTCGCTGCATGCTTGCTTAGTATGAGGATTGCTGTACACTTGATGCAATTTGCTGGGTTCCTTATATAGGAAACTTGTTTCTGATTGGCTTAATGAACTGACCTGTGTTGTAACGTTTACTGTGTGAAGTGCCTTGAGACGACTCGTCGTGATTTGGCGCTTTATAAATAAACTTGAATTGAATTGAATGTGCGTTTAACTGGGGAGCAACTGTGACAAATTGACCTTTTTGAACTGTAAGCCAAAACTGTCTAAATCACCAGAATAACGAGAGTACCTGACTCCTGCACTAGCAGACGGGATTATGTAGACAGAGTAGGCAGTTAAAAATATTCAGAGCTACATGAGTAACAGTTTTCTATACAAAGACTTTGATTTGAGTGTATTGAATTTGATGTTTTGCGTTTTTTTACATGTATAACAAAAAAGCCCTACCCTACAATAAAAGCATTAGGAACATCAGTTTAACATGTTATGTGTTGAGTCATCCTGATGTAAATCACAGAGCTGACGGGAAACAAAGCACCAACCAGCCCAGGAGCACCGATCCTTGAATAAAACAACTGCTTGATGTGTGGAAAATAGACATAGAATTCTTAATACTCTCAATATTTCTCTTTCAAGCCGCAGCGACAAATCCTCATCTGATTGTGCTCAAACAGCCCCCCGAGTAAATTCTGTGCCTGGTCCCGGGATTATCCCGATGTGACAGCTTTCCAGCCAGAATTCCTCCACTTTATCATTTAAACGACAACAGGAGGGGGAGCATTTATCTCTGTGGCTTACCATCTCAGCCACGCGTGCATGACACTTGTCTGTTGCCGTCAGGGAAATATTCCATTGGTGATTCAGTTCAGTGCTTTGGTCTTCTCCATTTGAAACCCTCTTGTCTTTTATCTGCTTTGGCGGGGAAGGAACTTGATCCCTCATGAATGAAACAAAAGGGCGTTAAGTATCTCAACGAGATCGATACAAAGGTCTGCTGGCGAGTGGCGCTCAAGTGGGGAGCCAAGAACGCACGGCAGTGTAATTATAGTCCCACTAGGGTTAAACTACGGCTCGTCTTAATCTGATGGGAGCAGGAACAACTGAAGGAAAACTTTAAAATCTTCAGGTCGTCTATATTTCACTTTGGCCAGGCGTCTTTGTGGTGATCTCTTAAAATGAGTGTCTTCACAAAGATTTATAAAAATATGCAATAATATTGTTCATAACGGCAACATATTCCACCGGTAAGGTGTTCCTATTTTAGTTTCATCATTTTAATTGGGAGGGTGTAAACTAGGTGTGGGTAGGTCCATCTGGTGGACAAATATATTACTGATCTCTGTGATGTTAATAGTGAAAGTACGTATACTGTTCCTAAATGTGATGGACCCCATAAATCAGCAGTAGTGGTGTGCTCTTCTTTACCTTGCTTTGGTTTATGGAGGTTGGTGGACATTGAATGCACAGTCCTGTAAAAGCCCCAGAAAGTGTCCTGGTTGAAGTCTGGACTCTGACTGGACCACTGGAGAACCTTGATTACAGACTCTTTAATGAGCCCGGATTATCAGCCCTCCACCAACGTGCTGAGTTGGTGTGAAGTGTTTGAGATGAAACTTTGACAGCCCAACTTAGTTTAGTGCAGGGGTGTCAAACTCATTTTAGCTCAGGGGCCACATTGAGGGAAATCTAGTGTCAAGTGGGCCGGCCCGGTAAATTAAAAACAACTTCAGATTGTTTTCTTTGTTTTAATACAATCAATATAAAACAAGGCTGAAGCCTGAGGACAGTGTATCCAAAATAGTACAACACCTGAAGTGTACTTGAAAATTTGAAAAAAATAAAAATTCAATAAATAAATAAAACATTCCTTAGTGATTCAAAGAGCTTACAGATCACATGGCTAGATCAGTTTCATGCAGCACTTAAAGTATATTTGACTCACTTTACTTTACATCTTTTAGCTTTCACCAGCACATCAATATCAGAAGTCACATCCTGAGTGGCGGCCAACTTCAGGATGTGATTCAAGTTCTTGTGTGAGCCTTGTTTTATTTATACTCGTTACAGAGAAAACTTGCTCACAAAGATAAGTTTATTTTCACTCTACATTGTGAAGTATGAAAATAAAGTTTACACAACCATCTCGCGGGCCGGATTTAACCCGCTTGCGGGCCGGAACCGGCCCGCGGGCCACATGTTTGACACCCCTGGTTTAGTGTTTTCTACTAGTGTTGTCATGATGTTTAACATTTAGCATGCTAACTAAAACCTGTGAAGGTGTATTTTTTTTATATATTTTTTGCAGTGTTTACCGAGGTCACTGGGAATCGTCTGGAATTGACAGAAACCCATTATCCAGGTTTCTGTATTATTTTAGATAAGAGTGCTACACAGTGGGCCACCAGACTGGTCACATTTTCTTTAATAAAAACACATTTTCTGCCTGTAGGGTTTAAAGTAAAGAACATCTCAGTTTCAGACGAATCTTTTATACACGACTCGAAAGGCCAGCAGATGTGACAACTTACAGATCTTAAATTAACAGACTAAATAATGCAGCTGAATGGCCTATTTAGAGCTTAACGCAACAGATGGAGGCGAGTCTCTCACAGATGTAGGATGTTGTTTGCTAGTAATTACCTTTAACCTATTTTCAGGAGAACTAAATGCTTAAATTATGTTAAAAGTGGCTGAATATGTGGGTAAATGTGAATAAAAGGCCCAGAACTGAATTGTTTATAATTGTTCTAAAGCACACACACCTAATTGGCACAAAAATGTTCATTTGTGTTTTTTTCCACACAATTTTGGTGTTTTTCTTTAAACTCAACTAAACTTTTATTTATACAGTACCTTCCAGGCATACATAGGCCACCAAGGTGCTGCACAGACATAGAAACAAACATACAAAGCTCAGGTAGCATGCCAAGAACCGATAAAGGCTAACTCATAGAGCTAGCAGTCAGATAATCAAAGTAATATGCATTTTTAGCATAGAATAACTCATTATGACTTTGAGCAAGTGAGCATAAAGATGCATTAAAGAACTGCGTGGAGACAAGAGTCCACAGCTGGAAAAAATATAGTTTTTGTTTTAATCAGGAAAAATTTCTATTTGTTTACATGAAGGGGGTGGGGCTTAAAAAAACATACTGGAACTGGCCACAAGGGGCAGTCTTTTAAAACCTAGCTTCAACTTCCAGGTTTTGGTCAGATATCTACCAGTGAACCGGAAACAAAAGAAAAAGGAGTTTTCTTTAATGAATTATTTATATTTGCTGAGAAAGGAGGGGCAGGCTGCACCCACGACCCATCAGAAATGAGAACTAAAAACTAATTTGCTTCTAATGCAAACATTTTGCAATAGGTTCCTTTAACTTCCTCCCCGCTAGGAAATCTAATCTGTTATTGGCGTTTTGTCATTTGTTTTTCCTCCATTTAGAAATTTTAAGTTCCCATTTATCTGTGAACGGACCATCAGCACATTAAAGAAAGCAGCTAACGCTAACTGACCCTGGATAGTCATTAAGTTGCTTTAGCATAATTAGCGGTGGAGGGCTGTAAAAGGAAATAAAAGCCCTTTTTAAAGAAAGAGTAATTTAAATTGATTTTTCTGTATTTTCAGCAAAAAAGTCAAAGATTTCATTAAAAATAAATGTGTTTGAAATGGCTATTATTTCTCCTTTTAGCCTTTGACATACTGACTTGAACCAAATGGAGATGAGTTTATTAATATTTAGATTAGAATGAGTCCTCAGACAGGAAGCCTTACCTTGGTGTACACATATATTCGGTCGGTGTACTGGCTGGCGCAGAACTGCAGGCCCGGGTATATCAGCTGGGCGGGGCTGGCATCATCCCCACCATCGTCTTCATCATCACCATTAGCATCAGCGGGAGAAGACAAACATGATTCAGCCCGGCAGTCTGCAGGGAGAGACCAAGAGGCTGACTAATATCTCACCGAGCATAAATTATTGGTTTATTATTGGCTTTCACAGGCTTTATTGGTACTCTCTTTGCTCCTTTGGTAATGCAAGGAATAACAGAGACATTAAACTCCAGCAGCTTTTAGCATTTATTACACGGAGCACAATATTGGGAAAATATGACATTTGCGTGAACTATATTGGGTTTACGTTTAGGAAAAACAATAAAAAGTTAATTATAAAACATGAAATAAACTATTTTGGTAATTATCTGTGAAATTTGCATTAGAATCAAAGCCAACATGTTGATATCAGCAACAAACAAACCAGCAAGGGCCTCAACTTTGATCAAAGTATTATTTAAATATTTTCACCAAAGGTTTTGAGAATGGCACCAATACTCAACACAAAGTTAGTGGTGAAATGGATTGTAATCAACTTTGAAGTATTTTATTGCCCTGAAAATGAACGTAAACCCAAAAAAATCCATTTCAAAATGTGAAGAGGGCTTCAGGGCCTCAACACAAATCAGCAGCACCTGGTTCCTGGAGTTGATCCAGCTGGGGATCAGGACACCAGTAAGTACAGTAGAAAGCTTTTAGACTATGGTCTGGTAACAAGGAGCGCAGCAAAGGAGTCACTTTGAAAACCATCAAACCACCAAACAAACAAAAAAAAACATCAGGTCCAAGGACTGGACTGCTGACGATTGCAGGAAAGTTTTGTTCTCTAACAAATCTCCTTTATGATTGTTTGGTCCATTTGAAGAATTATTGCCTAGAGAAAAATGTGTGGGGTGTGCTTCTCAGCCAGTGAAGTGGCCTCAGTCACTTCCAGCCTCAAAATATAGAAATCAGGGTTTCCCCCAGCACTTTATAAGCCTGGCGGCCCACCAGGCTTTGCTTGGCCAACCGCCAAGCTAAGCGTCATGCCCCTTCTCCCTCCCCAATCCTACCGTGTCCGCTGACACGAACGGCGCAACGAAAATAGAGCCCTCCATCAGCTGATACTGGTGAGAAACAGCAGCGGAACGTGAGCAACACCCCCACCCCCGCTCTCACGGAGGAACGCTGCGGGACGGAGCGCGCGACCCCCTCCTCTGACGGTCGAATTCGCCAGGCTAAACTCATTTTCTGGGGGAAACCCTGGAAATCAAAGAAGAATAGTAACTAAAGATCCTCCCTGAGGAACTCCTCCAGCCACCCTGCTGGTAAGTAACAACGTCTTCTCCAGCATCATGGAGCACTGGGCAATTAGGACCAAGTCAGAACTAATGGTGCTTACACATTAGCGGTTGGGGTTTGGTCGGGCTGGATGGCGCGAGTTCGGTCTTTAACGGGTGGTGTAGTGTTCACATAGACTTCCCAGGAATGCGGAAATTCCAGAGCCTGTGGGTGGCGTTTAATACGCGTTGGAAAGTCCGCTCCATAAGGTAAACAATTTCTCCATTGACCTCCATTGGCTTAGTTTCATTTTACTGACTCCACTCTGCCTAACCCATACACTAACCCAACCAACGGGGCCCTTTTCCTGAATCCTAACCTAAACTAAAAGCTAATTCACACCATACATCTAAACCAAGTTTTAGGATGCTCAGCATTGTGTGGACCAGCAAAATGTCCCCACGATGTAAAAATGTCCACACAGTACAGGTTAAAGTTAAAACGTGTCCACTTGAACCTATAAAGACAAGTACACACACACACACACACGCGCGCGCGCGCACGCACGCACGCACGCACACACACACACACACACACACACACACACACACACACACACACAGCCAGTAGACCCTTTTACTGTTTGTAAACAATATGACGTCAGCGAGAATGCATGCGCAGCTTGGCAACAGAGAATGGCGTTGTGTCAGGCTTTATCAAGCTACGCTGCGGGGTTATGACCGGCAAATCTTGAATGTTATATTATTAAACTCACTTTAACGAATGGCAACAGACTCCCGGATCCCTGTGGCATTACGGAATGGGTGGAAGATAGGTCGAATCCGCCAGGTGCTAACTAGCACCAGATATCCAGTGGCCCGATATATATACGTTTTTAGTGGAGAGGCCCAGTAAGTACACACGTGAGAAGCTACGGGCATACAAATCGTTAGATGCATACAACTATGTTGTCTGTGGCCACGTACAGAAAGTAAAATATCACGACATAGACTCTGTGTTTTGCGTCTTGAAGGCAGAAGTCCTTCCTAGCCAAAGACAAGGACACAAGACTGCTATGTACGAGGCTTGGGTCATAGTAAACAAACCAGAGAACTACGTCTTCACAGCCAACTGTACCTGCATGGCAGGGAGAGTATAGCATAGGTTTCTTTTTTTAGCGTGCTCAGAGTACAATCGTGTTAATTTTTAGAAAAATACAGTTCATACTAATATGCTGTGGGAAAATACAGATGAATTAGAATGAAATGTTAATTTCATTTAAAAACCAGCAAACGCAACTTTCTTTATTTAATAGAACACACGTTAACCAGTTTCTGGTGTAATCTTAGTAAATAATTACCTTACCTGATATAAAATGGGCGCTACAAACTTGAGCATTTCGGATCGTGTTTTCAGTCGTTTTCATTGATTCCTTTTGATGGTCTGCAGCCACAGACACCTCAGATTTTGTTGAAATGGATGTGCTCCCTTCGGAATTCTGTAAAGTTTCAGTCCACTGCTTGAAGAGAAGAGATTCTGGCATCCATACACGCAACAACCCGACATTTTTATGTGCTCAGAACTTCAAAACAAAGGGTTTAAAACGCTGTTTTAGTATCGAATGTGAATGAGAAAGCCTTCACTCTCGTTGCCAGGCTGCGCGCGCAACTTTTGATGACGTAGGTAGTAAAAGGGTCTGTTTAAGGCGCAAAAATATATAAGTATAATGTAAACATGGTAATAAGACACACTGAAATATAAAGTATAAATGTAAACAGTCACATGTAGAGGTATCAGGATGAACTAGCTAAATGTAAAGGTGCTGCAGTGCACTAATTGTCCAGCAGAATTCATGAAGATGGACAAACAAAATCCCACTAATATCTGCATGGTGGCGCAGTGGTTAGCACTCTCGCAGCACGAAGGTTGCAGGTTCGAAACTCGGCTGCGGCCTTTCTGCGTGGAGTTGCGTGTTCTCCCCATGCATGCGTGGGTTTCCTCCGGGTACTCCGGTTTCCCCCACAGATCACAACATGCCCTATAGATTATAAATTGTAAGTCGCTTTGGATAAAAGCGTCTGCCAAATAAATAAACATAAACATACTCTGGACAAACTTCGATGATAAAAGCAACAAATGCAAATCTGCAAAACAAGTTAGCTTAAAACATTTTTTATGCCTCGTAACAATGTTCTAACTTAGTACAGCTACACAAATGTTCTGGAGATTTAAAACAAAGAAAGTGACTCTCTCACATTTGTCTGAAAACCTCGGCCAATAACACGGCTCCATCCGAAACCAACGATTGGACCATCAGTTTTCTGTCTCACCAGACCACCGCACTTCTCATTTATCTGGGTCCACCACTCATTACACGCATGCACTTTTAGCAACAAAACACCATTGGTGTGAGAAGTTATTCACTCAATAATATCAGAGAAGGGGAAACAGCCGGCTGCTACCACTTCAACTTTAGGACAAACTAGCAGAGTCTCAAAAACAAAAACACCATTGGAAGTCATGGATAAAAGACGTTTGGACCTAGAAAATGGCGACTAGTGTTTAGCACTATCACGTTTCCTCTGGCAAGGCACGCTCCCATATTAGGCGGACGTGGCTGGGGGATGATAGCCAACAGGATGGGTGAGAGTTCTGAGACCGTGTTTGTGTTTAAAAGCTAGTTTGTTTAGCAGATTCAGTATAGCAAGTTTAATAGTGCATGATTGCGCTACCATCAGTCAGTATTTGGACTGGGAGTTGATTAAGAGCTTTCCTGGGTTAACTACTGAGTTGTTGGAAACAGAAACACCAAAAATTCTTTGCATAAACTTCATGTAATGTAATGCCCTTGTGAACTTAGTGCTATTTTATGTCATTAAACACAAAAATATTAGACAAACTATTAGACAAAGACAGTTGCATCATTTCAAACAAATTAAAAGTTGCGTTGAAAAAAAACTTTTGCTTAATAATGAAGTAAAGTTTACTACGGTATTCCAGGGAACTGTGAAGTGGATCAGTGAGGACCCATACACAGGACACCGGAGCAGGCAGGTGAAGGCAATTAAATTTTTTCTTCACAAAGCAAAAAGTGTTGAGAGTGCAGGAAGTTCAAAAACAAGTGTTTCACTTGATCAAACTACAAAAGAACACTGCAGAAACTGTGAACACAATAATAACAGGGAGAAAATCACAAAAACAGAAAGACGACAAAGATCTAACAAGGAGCCAGGGACTACGTGTACTGAGGAGGACCAACTAAGGACAGGTGTTGTTGACAAAAAGCAAAATAAACCATGACCATGAACAACAAAGTAATAAATGATGGAAATAGCAAAAACTTTCATCGTTAAAAAACTCAGAAATAACAAAAATCTAGGATTTACGTGAATCTTTTGGCTGTGTATAGAGCTAGCATAAGGACACAATTATCATAGCCAACCAAACGTTTCATTGTGGAAACAGATGGTGCTTCAAAATCTTTAACTTTACTAGCCAGTTGAAGTTCTAAATTTGCCTCATAGTAGATGATGATTTTAATAAAACTACATGTTAACTTAGAAAAAACCCACTCTGTCCAAAAACGTGCTCCAACATGGCTTAACATAAATGTGTTTTAAAAGTTAACAGATGGGGGATTTTATTAGGAAAGGAAATTCAGACTCACACTTCACTTCTACATAGCTAAAGGAGTATAAAGCATGCTAACTAGCACCAAAGCTAACCTGTTCTAGCCTCAATAACTCAGAAAGTAGATTTGGAAAATGAAGGGAGGAATGCTGGATGAGCAAGGCATGGTAAACCGAGCTGTTACTTATAGATGAAAATAGACACC